TATTTTAAAGGTTCGGTTACTTTGGCAGTTTTTGCAGTGCAAGGAAGAAGTTTAGAAGCCATAGTTGATAAATTATCCTGAAGGTTTAGCTTAATCCCACAAATCCTATATTGGGGTTGGTGTTGTAAAATTCTTAATCCTGTCACATTGCATGGGAGGGGATTATCCTTTGATTCTGTCACACCACAGAATATTTGAATAATCCTTTGTTAGAAATTATAATTTACTAAACTCTTAAATATATGTACATGTAAGATGTCCCAATAAACATGAGATTTCAAGGGAGTGTTAATAAATCAAGAATCATTTCTTGAAATCGTCACTCAATTCCTATGTTTATTGGGACACCCTGTACCACACAGAAACAGTTTAGCAGACAGAAAAGTTTTGATTTGGCCTTTATAGAGATAAAATATCTTGCACGTCTTCTCTCTCAACAGACAAAATTTTTGTTAACAATTCATGTACATGGTAATCCATTTTTACAGTCAGACTTTATAACATATTTCAGACATAGAAAAATAAACACGTCGAAACATAAATCATAAAGTTTTAAAAGAAATACAAAACTAAACGTAAACATCACTTTTTTACTTCACCAAGGCCCTTTCTAGAATTGTAAGCTGACATCGTTAAAAGTTTAAACAAATACAAACTGATATTTAAATAAACATACTCTCAACTAGTTCATGTTTACAGAGTGTCCCAATATACATACTCTCAACTAGTTCATGTTTACAGAGTGTCCCAATATACATTCCCTCAACTAGTTCATGTTTACAGTGTGTCCCAATATACATACTCTCAAGTCTCAACTAGTTCATGTTTACAGTGTGTCCCAATATACATACTCTCAGTTGGTTTATGTTTACAGTGTGTCCCAATTTACATACTCTCAACTAGTTCATGTTTACAGTGTATCCCAATATACATACTCTCAGCTGGTTTATGTTTACAGTGTGTCCCAATAAAAATATTCTTTAACTGGTTCATGTTTACACTGTGTCCCAAAATACATACCCTCAACTAGTTCATGTTTACAGTGTGTCCCAATGCTATCACGCTTATATTCCCATTAGATGATTAACCATGAAAACAATTAGCGGACTGTGTAATTAAAGTAATTAGTGTATTGCATGAATGGTTGCTGGTAATTACTGGGCTATTAGTGGGTTGAATCCAACCAACCCTGATATACTGGACAATATCAGTTTATTTGTCTATTCCGTTCATTTTATCGCCAGAAATATAAAAAAGGCTTTTAGGGTGCTTCGGGCCCATCTTCTATTTCAATTGTGAACGTGTTCTCTTTGTGTAAATTGTAGAACAAAATAAAAAAATAATTCGCGGATTTCAAACAAAAAGGCCGTGGATTTAAATAATTTTAAATTTTTAATGAAAATCGTATTTTGTTGTAGACAAATTTTTGAAATTTTGATCATTCATTAACTTTTCTGGGGCCACGTGAGGTCCCACACAAAATTTGGACCCGGTCGGTTCAGCCGTTTTGACGTTTTTTGGATACAAACAGACAGACAGGCAGACAGACAAGTAAAATGTGTGTTTACATAGATTAGATTGTATTATATTAAAATCGACATTGCTCTAATTTAGAGATTCACTTCGCGTCCAAGCATCTTTGTTAAAGCACAATGGTTACCCACAAAAAGTGACATTTTAAAGACGACATTACTTTTTAAATATAACGATCTGAAGGTTTATTTTGCTCTTTAAAAGAACAACACAATTTTTTTAAATTTTTCTTCAAAAAAGAAATCAAATTTTTAACATTACTCAGATCTCAGAACAGTTTAACGCTTCCCAAACCAAGTATACTGCCAAATATGAATCTATCGATATAACTGAGGGTTTGATATATATAAAATATATGATTTCCCGAGTTTTTGGAAATATTCAAATATAATATCTCGAGATTATCCAGGAAATATTCCTTAAGAAAATTGTGTAAAATGTTCCAAAGTATTCTATGCATCCTTGACTTCTAACATTCCCGACTATTCCCTTATCAAGGATGGGATGTATACACTAGTATATTGTATATATATATATATGTATATATGTATATATACATATATATGTATATATATGTATATATATAGTATTAAAATTCAGCTCGAATCTCTAAGTTTTGTATTTTCTAAGTTTTAGGAATTTCGGGCTGTCGCCAGAATACAGAATATACTAGGTAATTTCATTGAGGGAAGGGGAGGGGAAGGATAAAGGGACTGTATACGTAATTTAAAGCGATTCTTTATTTAAAAAAGAGTTACATCCCTGATTCACAACAGTACCTTAAACCTTCTGCTTTATCTGAGTAACAATGAGAAAGATATTTTTAGAGAAATCGCATTTGAAAATGATGAACAACAAAAACAAGGAATCTCTGTTTTTTGGCACCATTGTTAATCAAGCCTTGTAACATTTTAAATAGAAAACCATTTCAATTTTGTGAACAGTGTCTTTGAGGAAGGTTATGAGGGGGTTTGAAAGAGGAACGGGGAAGGGGAGGGGGTTAACAGGTTGATACATAGATAAAATATAAAGACAGAAGTTACAGAACAGGTTGATACATAAATAAAATATAAAGACAGAAGTTACAGAACAGGTTGATACATAGATAAAATATACAGACAGAAGTTACAGAACAGGTTGATACACAGATAAAATATAAAGACAGAAGTTACAGAAAAGGTTGATACATAGATAAAATATAAAGACACAAGTTACAGAACAGGTTGATACATAGATAAAATATAAAGACAGAAGTTACAGCACAGATTGTGACATAAATAAAATATGCATTGACAACATTTATGAACCGCCGAATAGATAGATCTACAGTTCAGAAATAAAAAAGAAGCCATTACATTGATAAAATAGTAAACCTTACATAAGTTATTTGATCAACTAATTCTAGTTTTTCCTTCTTTTTATAACCTACACCCCCCTCTATTCCCAACCCCTTTTAAATAAAAGGTTTGTTGCAAATGCCAAACCAATATTGTTTGGTATGAAGAAAACATGAAGAACATGTTTTATTGATGTATGAAGTTCACAAAATTAATCTGAATTTTTTTTAGTTACAGACTGTGCCTGCATACTCCATACTTTAGTTACTGTGCCTACTCCATACTTTAGTTCCTGTGCTTACTCCATATTTTAGTTACTGTGCCTACTCCATACTTTAGTTATTGTGCCTACTCCATACTTTTGTTACTGTACCTACTCCATATTTTAGTTACTGTGCCTACTCCATATTTTAGTTACTGTGCCTTCTCCATACTTTAGTTATTGTGCCTACTCCTTACTTTATTTACTGTGCCTGCTCCATACTTCAGTAACTGTGCCTACTCCTTAGTCCTTACTTAAACGACTTTAGTTGCAAAGGTATTTCCATAAGTTTAAAATCTAATTCTATGTGATTTAAGGAATTCGAAAAACAATTTAGAAGCTTGCTGATTGCTGAAACTAATGATTTAGAAAAAGTTAAAGCAGTTTAATTTTTAATCTCCAGATTAATTTTCCGATCAGGATTAAATATTCTAAAGTTTTCAGCTCTGGAGATTAAATTCATGAGGACAACAAGCAATATTTAATCTGGAGATTAAGAAAAAGAGTGGATCAAGCATTAATCCAGATATCCACCATTCTAAAGTTCCCAGCTCAGAGCTGAAAACTTTAGAATGGGATATCCTTAATCCTGATCGGAAAATTAATCTGGAGATTAAAAATGAGAGGAGAACAAGCAATATTTAATCTCGAGATTAAGAAAAAGAGTGGATTAAGCATTAATCCCGATATCCACCATTCTAAAGTTTTCAGCTCTGGAGATTAATAACATGAGGAGAACAAGCCATATTTAATTTGGAGATTAAAAAAAAGAGTGGATCAAGCATTAATCCTGATATCCACCATTCAAAAGTTCCCAGCTCTGAACGGATAATCTACAAAGGATGAGACTTTAGAGACGGATTTTATTTAATCTTTTGGTAGTTCTCTGCAGCTTTAAACTTGTTTTCTTTCTTTACAAAATCATTAAATATTCCATTAAAGACTATGAATGAAATCTTCCCTCGTTAATTGGATACTCTAAGAGTTTTAGGTCGTCATTAAATTCTGAACCCAGTGCTGGTAACCCTGTATAGTAGTTGTGTATAATTAATTTAATTTTTACATAAAAGTTTAAACCCTTTACTAGCTCATCGTAAACCTGTTTATTTTGACTAATCAGCACAATTTTCTTAACACAACAGCTGTACTGCACATTTCATTTGATTTTTTCCATTTTATCTTTTTTTCTTTACTCTCTTCCTTATTTTTAGAAATGACAACATCTAAATTTTATTTCTACTTCCTGATAAGTTTCTACATTTTCGGTTTCTCATCCTGTCAAAATTTGACGTTAATTGTTTATCTAGTAAACTTCAGAGACCTCAGAAGATATCATTTTCTGTGAACTAGGTCAAAAATGGGATTTTCTTAGAATTTTACGTAAGTTTAATTTTTCCTCAAAATCTCTCAAAATTTTTTTTAACTTAAGATTGGTATTTTTTATTTCCGTGCTCGTACACCCTGATACAATCATGTTTTTGTTCTTTAACTCTAGATTTTATGATCTAGAGGATTCTGAAACCATTTACAGTTAAAGTTCACTTTAGACACAGGTCAAAACTTGTGTACTCTAAACTACAGAGCGTACCATATCAAATTAGATTATCTCCAATCTTTAACGTTAAAATTCGCACTTAATACTCGAAAAATCTAGCATTTTGTGCAAAAAAAATTTCTTTTAGCCTTATTAAATTTTCAAAATGATTAATTCTCTGATTTGTCCCCCAAATCGTAATTTAGACCCATTAACACGGTCTCATTTGATGTGGGACACCCTGTAGATTTGCAGATAATCTTGATTCTAACCAAAATTTTAAACCTCCGTAGTCCGTACACACTTATAACTTTCTTTTCAATTTAAAAGTTGATACTGATTATGTATCTATTTATTAAATAAAAATAATGCAGCAAAGTAGAACACAAGCTTTAAAGAATATCTGATTGAACAAAAATTTATGGGGTTTTTGGAGCAAAAATAAATTTTTAAAATTATAAAAATGGCTCCAGTATGTACATTTATTACACTGTACACTTGACATCTTGAACTGCATAATGGAGTACAGAACACTGAATGAATTTTATCTAAAGAAAAACTGATTTCTATGAAATCTACGAATTAAGAATAACGAGATAATACTTCATCATTTTTGTTAGATTTTACATATTTAACATCAAACTGGTAAACAGGGTGTTATTCATCACAAGAAAATGGACTGGGTTTGGGTCAAGTCCTGGGAAATATCAAGGGTTGGGGAGAAAGTTAAACCTATAGAACTGTGAAATCCATCCGTTCGAGTTCTCCGAAACCTCAACCCAGTGTAATATACATGTATTGAGTAGAACTTGTATACTAGAGTTACATCTACTCTTTGGTTAATTATTCACTAAGTTTAGTTCAACTAGAGATATCTGGGTCGAGTTCTCCTACTGGAGTTAAACTTTCAGAAGGTTTAAGAGCTTGGAGCAAACTTAGACAAGAGATCTACAAAGTTAGAATGTTTAATTGAAGTCGGTTGTTTCCAAAACTCCTAACCCCATTCACAAAATTTCTTAAATTACCAAATTTTACGTAATTTTTACGTTATATTTTCGACTTAGTACATGATTTCATACACAGTCGCCTTTTTGTCTCCAGACCCTGTCACTATATACTTGTCGTCTGTCGAAATGTCAACAGATAAAACTGAAGAAGTTTCGTTTGACTGGAATATAGATGCTCCGTAGGGAGTTCTCCAGGAGTTTAGGAGATTATCTTTTCCAGTTGAGACAAACCATTTACCACAGTTTGCAAACTTGAGAGAGAGAACACAGCTTTCATGCAGATGAAGCTGATATTTATCTGGCTGGGACGAGTGAAGAACTTCAACATTAGAGTTCTCCATACCAACAGCTAACCAGTCTCCGGTTGGACAATAACCAAGACAGAATATCTGAGAACTAAAGTCATGTTGTTGTAGTTGTCTTCCTTCCCGGAGATCCCAGGAACGTACAGTGTTATCCAAACCTCCCGTCCATAGTTTTGTTCCGTCGGATGAAATATCTATACAGCTGGCTCCGTCCGTATGACCCTGGAACTGTCTCACAGGTAATTGATTATGAAGATCCCAAACAGCGATGTTACCATCACTGCAACAGCTGAAACAGACCTTGGAGTCGGGACTGATGGCAAGAGCATAGCACGCCGGAGCAGAACTGGTCAATTCTCCTTTTCTCCGGGGAGCAGGAGCAGCTAGATCCCAGATTGATAGTGTACTTGCTTCTCCTCCTACAACTAGAGTCCTTCCATCAGGTAGAAGTTTGATAGATCTGATATAGTTATCCCGTGTTAAACAATCTAGCTGAGACACTGGAACCTTACTCCCAGGTTGAGCTATATCCCACACCTTAACACAACCCTTCCCTCCTGTATACACATATTTAGTAGGATTAGACATGGTTACTGCACAAACAACGTCTCCGTGTGGAAGGGTGCTAATCTGCCTGGCATGCCTGGGTATCCCGGGACCAATGAGAGCATCAGGAGGGAACGGAACTGGTCTTTTCTCCCCTTCTCCATTAACGTGGAAAGAATAGGCCCTGAAAAAGTAGATGTCATTAGAACTAGAACTAAGAGATATAAAGAACGGGTAAAGTACCAGGACTGGTAATGGGAACAAGAAATGCATACTGAGTAGAACCTATTAGTCCGTGATGGTTTCTAAGATAAGCTCTGACAAGAGCAAGATATGCATTGTCACGTTAACGTTGGTATTTATACCAAGGGCTAAATTAAGCTCCACATAACCGGTCCTGGTGAAATAAAAACCTTACGTACGGTTTGCCTCCAGGAGGGAGTCCTACAGGGGGAGCTCGGAGGGCCGGATGCGGATCAAACGGAGATCTGTACGCTTCGGAGGACGGAGGATGTCCGTTCCCAGGCGGAGGAGGGAATCCGAGACCGTAGGGAGGGCCAGGAAGTCCTGATTTAAGCCCAGGATCGGCGGGGGGCGTGGACTTAGGAGTTGGAGGCTTTCCGTCCTCGCTGCTCTTCTTGGGAGCTGGAGTCGATGAGGCTGAACTTCTACCGCTCTGAGGACTCATTACGTCCTTCTTACGGGTTAAACCGAGGTCAATTCCATTTTCTTTCGGGGGACTTCGGCTTTGCCCATTGGTCATATGACCATTCTAAACAAAAACTATTTAGTAAAACTATAATTGATATTATTCAAGTGTATGATAAAAATTAAAAAATTTATACCTCCTCTTTCTTAACTTTCTTGGGTTCGGGTCCAGGACTCCTTCTGTCAATGCTACGGGGTCTGTCTCGGGATGGGGACAAAGAATTTCTCTAAAATAAAGAATAATTTTAAAAATGAAATCAAGAAGGGGTAGGGCAGAGTAGGTTTTATAATCAGGTTCTCAAGTCGTGTAGTATTGCAATATATGAAGAACCTGATTGCAATTTTACAAAATATGCTAACATTATAAAAAATCACAAAGGCTGAAATTATGTGCGTGGGTTGTGTAAGTATATTAACCGATCCCCTCTTCTCAACATGGTTAAATAAAAATATCTCTTTTTTATCATCCGGCACTAAAGCGCTGATTTATTGCAATCAGTTAAGTGCATTTTATCAAACTTCAATCAAATTGATGTTTTTCTTTGCTGTCGCTTCAAACAGATTAAACTGTGTTTACACCAAGAAGGGGAGAGAAAAAGGAGGGGGAAAGAAAAAATATGAAATCAAACAACCTGACGCCATTTTGAAATTCTTAATTGTTTGACTCACATGGCGCTCGTCTGAAGATGGTCCTTGGGAGGCACTCAGTGGTTTGTGCAAATCCTCTTCCTTCTTCGCAATATCATGATGGCTCATCGGCATTGGCAATCGGGCCATATGTGCAGCAGCGAATGCAGCCGACGATGAAGGCGGAAGGCCAGCTAGAAGTGCGGCAGAGGAAGCTGGAATTCCTGGCGGAAGTCCTAAAATGTATCAAATTTAGATTTAAAGATTTTTCCAAGGATATTTTATAATTAAAAAACTGTCTCCGGCATTTCAAGTGGTGTTTTATTGAAATAGTTACATACCCGATTCACAACAATATTCAGTAAACCTTATCAAACCGAATGATGGAGATATCGTTGTTTTTCTATGTGAAAATTTACTATTTAAAATTATGGTTTCATAAAATTTACATTTGGATTTATGCGCAAAAGAGTGCCATTGAAAATCAGACATAAATCTCTTTTAAAATTGAGAATAAGTTTAAATAAGGCCTACAGTCCCCTTAAGTTCTCCTGTGCTAAGCTTGATTAAGGTTGTAATGCAAGGAAAGTTAATAGCAGTTGCGTATACTCTGGTACATACTGAAACCAGTTCTCTCTGGGCTTAATTTGTAAACAAGAATAGATGTATCAGTGTTCGTTTAGTATCCGAGGAAGTCAAAAGCATAAAATTTTGATAATTTTGATGTGACCAGAATATTACATTGCTTTATTTTTTTGTGAAAGATGAAACCCATGTCAGGCTGTGACATCCGTCTTGTGTTTACATTACCGCCCAGAAACAGTACACTGCAGTACAAGACATGCGTAAACCTCTAAAATAACTTTCCTTGCATTATAACCTTGGATCAAAAACTATTTAAAGGAATGAAGTCATCTGTTTGCCCATCAATAAATAAAATTAAAATAAACAATGAAATGTAAACAAACAAACATTTAGCCATGACATTCTTTAGTTACAAGGGTTTACTGGTATATTGTTGATAAACAAATACTTTGAGTAGTTTTTCAGGACTTTTAGAAATTCAATAGGCCATTGTTTTCTTCGGTTGGACAGTTAGGCAGAGAGACAAGGAAGCTTGAAATTGAGACTAAATTGTGACATAAAGCGGAAGACTTGACATAAAGTTAATGATCTGTCACATAAAAAGGTGATTATATGTGACATAAAAAGGTGATAATCTGGAACATAAAAATGATGATTTGTGACATAAAATGATGAATTGTGACATAAAAATAATAATCTCTGACATAATTTGATGTTCTGTGACATAAAATTGATGATCTAAGACATAATTGTCATATTCTTTGACAAATTTTTAAGAATCAATTTAATTCGAGGTTGAACTTTTATTTTGTTTTAAGCATCATGCTGTTTTACTTTTTATAGTTTTAAAGTTTTATGCAAATATAAAAAAATTCACATTCTATCCTTGAAAAAAGCATAAAAATGTTATTTCTCTGAGAAAAATTTGGCAACATTGGAAAATATTAGGAATGAGTTTCTATTTCAACCAGAGTATAAACAAATTTTATTGTTTTAAAGCTATTTTACCCGAATTTTGCCTGAAATATGAAGTTTTTGATTTTTGCTTTTTAAAATCGTTTTATTTTATTATGATTTATGTTGGATGATATCAAAATTATTAGTTATAGGTAAATAAAATAAAAATGGAGGAAGCAGAAAATGGAATTTTCTATAGATATCTTCACCAATATTCGGCATGTTTGTTTGTTTGTTTGTTTGTGTCCAACAAACGTCAAAATGTCTAAACATATCGGACCCGAATTGTTTGAGGAACCTCACATGACGCCATGGATGAACCATGGACAGTTAAAATACAAAGAATTTTATTAAAAAAATATCTTTAAAATTGTTTTAAATTCTTCATGAACAACTGCGAAGAATTTACATAGGAAAATTGGCAGTTTTCCTTCTGACACGGTTCCTCGTGGTGACCGATCAAAACAAACAATAAAAAGTAGAAACCAATAAAGTATTAAAATACCTTGAAGTCCCTGAAGTCCTTGGAGACCTTGAAGCCCCTGTAGTCCTTGAAGGCTTTGTAGTCCTTGAAGTCCCTGTAGGCTCTGTAGTCCCTGTAGTCCTGGTGGTAGTCCGGGAGGAAGGAGTTGACCGGGTCCCCCAGCAGCCTGCAGCTGCATTAATCGGCTCATATCTGGCCGTTGTTGTTGCTAAAAAATGATATTTTAAGGAACTGTAGGAACTGTGGGAGCTGTTGGAACTAAAGGAACTGTTGGAACTATAGGAACTGTAGGAACTGTGTAGACGTAATTCAAAGTGATCTTCATTTCTAAAGAGGCAAGGACAATCCCAAAAGTATCGTTTTATCTTTCTCTGATGACCGTTTATGAAGTTATCCTTTTTTTTCTAGCTAAAAGGTGAGTGCCGGGAAAAAAGAGTGGACATTATTCACTCAAATTGTCCGTCGGTAATTAATTTTTAGCTAGAAAAATGTAGATATCTTCTCCATTCTTGATCACACAAAAAAATCGGATATATAACTCTATAAATGGAGGTTCACTTGAAATTACGTCTACAGTCCCTGAAAAAGGTTAAAAAAATCTAAAAATAATTTGATGATTTTTTTCTTCAATTTCCTCACCCCAATTATAGAATTGAGCTCCGACATCGTAACTTGTTTAGCTCTTTCAACAGCCGTCACCACTTGCTGCTGATGCTAAAACAAAATAAAACTATGAAATTATAGACTTCAAAAAACTTATTTTAAAAAAAGTTATAAAGATAAAAAAATATTTTATCTAAAATACTAAGATTATATTTCGTTTTTAAACATTTAAAGGTAATGTACTTTTAAAAGGGGTTTCATGCAAAAAATTTTTTTTTTTAAATATATGATTATTCTTTGAGAGGATATTTGATAACTCTTGTAGAGGCTATAAAATACGCATCTTTTAAAGAATATATGATAACTCTTTTAGAGGCTATAAAAATACACCTCTTTTAGAGGATATATGATAAGTCTTTTAAAGGATATATGATAACTTTTTTAGAGGATATATGATTATTTTTTTAGAGGATATATGATAACTCGGAGTTAGAGGATATATGATAACTCTTTAAGAGAATATATAATAAATCGTGTAGAGGCTATATGATAACTCTTTCAAAGGATATATGATAACTCTTCTAGAGGCTATAAAAATACACCTCTTTTAGAGGATATATGATTGATTTTTTAAAGGATATATGATAATCTTTTAGAGAATATATAATAACTCTTTTAGAGGCTATATGATAACTCTAGTAGAGGATATATGATAACTCTGGTGGAGGATATACGATAACTCTTTTAAAGGATATATGATAACTCTGGTAGAGGATATATGATAACCCTGGTAGAGGATATATGATACCTCTAGTAGAGGATATATGATAACTCTGGTGGAGGATATATGATAACTCTTTTAAAGGATATATGATAACTCTGGTAGAGGCTATATGATAACCCTGGTAGAGGATATATGATAACTCTAGTAGAGGCTATATTATCACCTCTAAAGAGTTAGTTTGATGTAAGAGTTCCATGATCTGGTTTAATCTCGGCCCATATTCTCTCTATAGGGATATAATGGAAGGATGAATGGATGAACTGATTAATTTTAGTAAATTGAACAAATGTTACGAGATCACTAGCATAGGTAAATCAAAGGTTAGACAATATTGGGTGTATGACAAAAAATAACATTTTATTTTGAAAATATTTTTTTTTAAATATTTATATAGATAAAATATGGGCAGATACTATATACCAGTGTTGCAAATATACAATGTATTAGAATTCAAGCAGAAATGTACAAATGTACATTACTTATATTTTACAACTATTGTAAAGATTCAAAATAATAAGTGCATTTGCTAACCATAATATCGATTACAATTTTAATTCATAAAATTATATATACATATTATAGAAGATATATATACAGTTTAAACAGATAAACTTATGCATTACTCATCATTCAAAAAAATCTTCAGTTGAAGTTTTTTTTTACAAATTTTAGTTTGAATTTGGAAATTATTAAAAGGCTTTTTGGCCTTCAGGCAAAGAAACTTATTACTTGCCTCAACCCATAATTAATATCCTTGAAACCTAATGTTGTAAAATTTTATTTCTAAACTAGACAACGACATCAGGTTGCAGAGATATTGGGATAGTTGAGTCAAGTGTTCAGTTTCTTTGACAACTTTTTATTGAAAAAAATGTATTATAAAGAATCGCATTTTTAAATAGCTACCTCTTGTGATAGGAAGGGGAGAAGTTGAGCGATGATTGCATTTAATCGTTTCGCGATTTCCATTTGTTTATGCATCTCAACATTCAGACCATACGACATCTCGTAGTACTAAATAAGAAATATTACTTTTATTCTTATCTTAGTTTTCTTTTATATTTATTTTATCATTTATTTTCATCTTATCCTATCCTATCCTAACCTATCCTATCCTATCCTTACCATGACGTAATGTCTCTGCATCTCAGTTTTTTCTTGCACCAACTTTTCACATTCAAGCTTCAAACTAAAACAAAAAGAATTATCAATAAAACAACTATTATCACATCTTCCTCTATTGATTTTTTATATCAAGTTACTCCCCTCCCCCGCCTCCCCCTCTCTCCCTTTCCAGTTCTAATACCCAACCCCCTAAATCTAACACCCAGCTAGTCTTATATTCCAATTATACTGAATTTTATTGTGCACAGAAGAACATAAAAGCAATAAAATTTGAATAACTTTTCCTTGCTCAAGTTATAGCTTTGATACAAATTTTGTAATATAAACTTTAAAAATCAGGACTATAAAAATCAGATAAAAGTCGAATTTATGTTTGAAAAATTGGGTTCTATTTTGAGATGCACTTACTTACTACTCGTGCAGTAAAATATATGTTTAAGGGTGCCATTAACTTGTAAAGTATTTCACCTTGGGGATTACAGTATAAACATTAAACAAACCAATATTTAAATAGAAATATATTCATTGATCAATTAATCAATATATCTTCCATCTATCAATTCATCCATCCTTCCATCCATCCATCTAGCAATTTCGGTCTCTCTGTCCATAAAGTTAATGTATTGAAGCAAAGTAATTGAAAGTGCTCGTATAGAGTATAATGGACCTTAAACAAGCCTACTGATACTTGTATCCTAGCTGTAACCAGTACCCTGATACATACGTTCTAAAACCAATATATACACACAACCCAACCAACACAACCAACCAAGATGAGAAATGAAGGTGACTAAATGAAAAAGTATGAGTCTAGTTATAAAGAAGAGAGAGAGAGAATCTTGTCTCCAAGCACGAACAAGACTGAGAAAGGCAGGAAGGACGAGACAGGGAATTAATCTCCGGTATTAAGATAAATCTGGAATTATGGATAATGTGATTCTCCACCCTGCCGTCTCATCAGTTCCGGGGATTAGATTCGTTCAGCTCCAGGTTACAGTTTAGCTAAGCTCCAGGTCTAGTTCAGAATTACGTTTAGGTTGCTTTAAATCCGATTAGTTTTAGACCAGATACATTTACAAATACAGGGTTTAAGTAACCCTGTTCATACAAAAACTGATAAATGTTAAAACTTACACCAGGATAAGAATAAAAGAGAAATGTATAAACAACGCTTTCTTGGCTCTTCATTGTTTCTTTAACGGCAATAATTTTTTTCGCATATTTTCTAGTTTCTTAAACGTAGTTTCCAACATTTTGACAACTTAAAATTTGGTTGAAGGAAAAAATTTCAATTTCAACCGACCATAAACCTTCCCTGGGGTCATTTTAGTTCCTATTTTGGTTTGATCGATTGTGTCGTTTTGACGCTTATTGGATACAAACAGACGAACCAACACACAATCAGTCAAGCCATACATTCATAGACATAGAAGAAAATATTGAATTTCACAAATCTATAGAATTCTAGAAGAAGAAGAAAACTACAGGTTAAAAGAAAAGTGAAAAATTGCAGAAAAGTAAAGGAAAACGATGAAAGGGAGAGGGGGCACTTAAAGATAAAAAATAATTGAATTCAACATTTAATTTGAAAATATGATTTTGATATTGTATAATATTCGCTTATCTAGCTGACAATTTAACACATTTGAATTAATTATATGGAATTGGTAGTTAAGTAGGGACGGAAAGGAATGGCGACGAAAGAATGTGATAAAAGATATAAAAATATTTGTCCTACTTGACCCCTTGAAGAGATAAGCCGCCCGTGGGTAAAAAGTTCACGTTTTTATAACAATCCTCTATAAACATACGCATTCCGAGATACAGCTCTGGACACACAAATGTTAACAAAAACCTGAATCTGGTTTAGCCAACCAAACCAAACTAACCCACCCAACAAAACAAACAAACCAAACCAACCCAAGCAACCAAGCAACCAACCCACCCAACAAAACAACCAAACCAAACCAAACCAACCCACCCAACAAACCAAACAAACCAACCCAAGCAAACAAGCAGCCAACCCACCCAACAAAACAAACCAAACCAACCAACCCAACAAAACAACCAAACCAACCCAAGCAACCAAGCAACCAAGCAACCCTACAAAACAACCAAACCATCCCAAACAACCAAGCAACCTACCCACCCAACACCCAATCAGAAAATAAACAATCCCACCAACCAACTAAAACAATACTTAAACAAACCAAACTAAAACATTCAATCCATTTTTAACCAATCCGTATTCATCAAACCAATTTTCATTCTGAATACTAGGACAAGTAGTAATAATAACAAAGAATTTAAGCTCGTAATGCAAAGATCTTTTGACTGTTGGTGTTAAGGTTGTTTTGTACTTCTTAGGAGCTAGAAGAAGAAAAATTTTTTGTTGTTGTAAATGTATCTTTTCGTAAAACAATGACCAACCCCTTTAATGTTCTTTCAAGTCTTTTACATTAAACCAGAGTTAGTCGAACAATGGGAGGGAATAAATGTATGAATGGACTTAGTGAAAAGAAATTACACGTTCCAGAAACTTTTGGAATTTTGCAATATGAAATATTTTTTTTATTTTTTATAAATTGTTATATTTCATGATGTCTTTGTACTTTGAACAACAAGGTATTTAAAAAAGAAATATATTTAATTTTTAAACGTCAAGCTAAATCCAGCATTTAGTTGATCAGGATGAGTTTTAGTTTGCTGGATTTTGGTGGATTTTCTATCGCAGTTTGAAGAGTTTGACAGTGCAATCGGAAATAAACTTCCCTCCCGAGCCCAGATAGTTTAAACTTTACAGATTCTCCTCTCTCTCTCTCTTAACTTTAAAACCCGGAGTATTATCAATGTCCTATTTCGAACCGGAGAAGTCTAAACCCTATTTTCAAGCCAGAGTATTCTAAACCCTATTGTCAACCCGGAGAATCCTAAACCGTATTTTCAACCCAGAGAGTCTCTAAACCCTATTTTTAACCCAGAGTATTCTAAGCCCTATTGTCAACCCGGAGAATCCTAAACCGTATTTTCAACCCAGAGAGTCTCTAAACCCTATTTTTAACCCAGAGTATTCTAAACCCTATTTTCAACCCAGAGAGTATTCTAAACCCTATTTTGAACCCAGAGAGTCTCTTAATCCTATTTTCAACCCAGAGAATCCTAAACCCATTATTTCCTGGAATCTTTGTAAATTAGGATTTTATTATGATAATTTGACAGGATGAAGGGGGGGGGGGATTTGCAAATCTTTCTCTTATTTTAAATTCAAATTTGCACAAATATGCATATGTATGATATGTTAGTTTAAACTTTATTTATTATTCCAAGATTTTGCATTTGCTGTCTATCAATTCAAATTTCTCCATTTCTCAATCTGAACCCAAATATGTGCATTCTGGCCCAAAAATCTATCACGTTTTTGCCAAATACTTGTTTAAAGCTAAAGCTACTTTGCAAAATTAAATTATTTATGTCAAAGATTTGAAAAAGTATTTAATGGTTTGTTATGTTCAAACCAAAAACCTTCAAAGTCGACACCTCCCCCCCCCCACTCTACTTACTTATGATATTGCGCCTGGAGGAAATTGAACTCCTCCTTTATCCTCTCGATGGACTCGACGATGTTGAGCTTGAAGGGTGGAGCAGAACCTGATCCAGGACCTCCAGGAACCTTCAATACATATTAATAAAAGAAAATTTCTTGGATAGTAGGCTTGTTACGGATTATTTTTCGGGGTTGAAAAAATACAAGACCTTGGTTTTAACATATTTTTTATGTTAATTTTTCTTTTGTAAGAAAAAATTGATTCAGGATTATTCTTTCTTGGGAGTAATTATTTGATTGGGATATATACTGATAAACGTTGATATGTTAGACTTAATGCTATAAAAACAAATTTGTTTTGAACCTTGGTATGTGAAAATCATGTCAATACTTTTATACCGGATACACAGCAATGAATAAAGTAATGAGAAAGCTAAACGTGTGTGTGCACGAGTTAAATAAATTAGTTTTAAATCCTCAGCCTAATTTTAAACTAATTTCCTAAATTAGATGAATTAGGATTAGCGGGAATCCTTGGATTAAACAATACTAGACTAAACGTTCACGATTTAATCGTAATTACAAGAATTAATTATTTCCGCGCTTACTTAGAACTGCATTTTTTAAATGGTGTTAGTAGATGTGTCGGGGAGCTCTGGACACACAAATGTTAACAAAAACCTGAATCTGGTTTAGNAGCAGCGATAATTAATATGAAAAATTAATCAAATTATTAGTGACAGAGACACATTTCTCATGGGAAAAAATATATTTGTCAGGTTAAATTAGAAAAATTGTTGACGTTAACTTGCATGGTTATTAAATAAACTCAATCAAAATCTACAAATGTGATCTTTTTCAATTTTAATGAAATACTTTGTACTTACATAAATAATTAATAAATTTGAAAAAAAATAAAAATAATTATAAAAATGATTTGCTAATTCTAAATATTTGACACTCTGCTAAAATAACTTCTTCACTAAGAGCGTAAGCGTATAAGTGATTGGTTCTAGGGTTCATTCACTACTGTTCCAGACTACGGAGAATTTGAACACCAACGTTGGTGTTGGTAGGTTCAGGGCTCGGACCAACGTAGGTGTTGGTCGGTCCAGGGCCCGGGGGGGGGGGTCTTAATAGTATTTTAGGGTCCTTGGTATACCGGCCAGGTTTAGGGTTTAAAGAAGTTTAAAGTTGTCAGACATTTTGTTGCAACCGCGGCAATTCTTTTTAGTCTGGTATTTCAAATACGAGTTGAATTAATACTTTAATTTTACATGTTAAACCTTAAACAAAGTGGATATTTGATTATTGTATAAAGGCGATAGATAGATAGATACCTAACGAAAAAATGGCTATCTATGACAGTTTTTCATTTAAAACAAAAATTCACTAAGGAATTGAGTCTTTCCAACGACCTCTAAATCTTTGCAACTTAATATAGTATATCTTAGATATTTCAAACTATTAATTCTGGTGGATCAAAAAATCTAATTTTGAAATATCAAAGATTTACACCATAAGGTTGTAAAGATATAGGGTTTTAAAAATTTGAGATTGTGGCACAGACTTAGTTCCTTTTTAGAAATTAAACAATACAAAAAATAAATGAAAATATTTTAAAGTTAAAACATCAAAAACCTTTATCAGTAAATGGAAATAATTACTTTTACTGAACCTATTTGAAATTTGACCCTCTCCTAGGAGAGGGTCAAATTTATGCAACATTACATGTACAGCTTTGTAACCTTGCAGGTTCTTTTAGTTTTGATTTTACGAAAAAGTATGAGAGCCTGAAATTTATTTGTCTACATATAAGAGCTCTTTAAAAAAATGGGTTATGACTGATTAAGTAAGATTTCAATCTAACTTTGAAACTTGATAGTGTAAATCCTTTATAATTTAAACTTATTATTTGTAGCTTAAAATATCTAAGATCTATACTCTATAAAACATTGAGCTGTAAAAATACAGGGATTAGAAACTCCGAGTTTGAGGCAAATCCTCAATTCCTTTACTATAATTTGACAAAGGATGTGTTCATATGATGTAAAGAAATCAAACCCTGGATGGGAAAATATCTCAGCTTTGTATCTCTAGCTCCATCTCTCCTTTGTTTCTCATAATAATTAGTAGGTCTTCTCCCACCCAACTCCCCCCGATCACCTCCCCCTTCCCTATTTCCCCGTCCTCGCCACCCCTGAATTTACTTGCACGCCTGTTATGGTCTGAGTCATAGTGCTTCAACCCCTGGCTTACCGGGTGCTTCTTAAACTAAATTTATTTTACAGTCCCCAAAACATGCCCCCCCCCCAGCTCTCT